CCCTCTGCAAGGGGATGTCCAGTGGCCTTCAGGTGGGCTTTGGTGACCGCATTCTTGCAGCCACTGTGTCCATCCATTTTCTTCGAGGGCTTTTCTCGTTTCTTTGCCCCTCCACTCCACCAAGCTTGAGGTCCTCCCGGACTTAGGGGAGGTTCAAATAGAAAGGAGTGGAAAGCAGAGGGGAGGGGTGACTTTTGAAAAATTTGAAAAGACAACATTGTACTCACCTATTTTGGGAAAAAGGCCCTTCCGCAGCCGGCCCTCGAGGTGGGGAGCCGGTTGCTCTGGGGTGCTGGTCGCCGGAGCGATGGTGAGGAAGCACTGTTGTCAGTACCTGAGGATTGTGGGAAGCAGGCTGGGTGGCGATGGATGGTGCCGGCAGCTGGCAGCGAGACACATTTCTGGCAGAGACACAACTCATGGGTTGTGAGACTCTAATCAGGTGCTGCTTAGAGTAGCGACCTTAACACAGGTGGAAAGACTCGTGAATGGAGCGATTCCAAGTTCCTGATTCACATTGCTTGCCCTTAAAGTGCTTGACGTGTGCCAGCCAGCTGTGTAAGTCTTACACCAAGAGAAGATCAGGAAACACGCAGGAATCCAAATGACATCCCCCATGCCCGCCTTCGTGTCCGCGCCTTCTCCTGTGCGTGTGCACTTTCAGAGCATTCTTCTCAACCCAACACGACCACGTGAACATTTTGTCTACCAAATGGGTGTTTCCGTGTAATTGCTGACGGCGATGTGATTGTTGATGCTCTGACACAATGTAATTTGCCATTCACCTGCTGCCGATGGGCCTGTTGTCGTTTCCCCTCCACTCTTGTGATTAATTATGTGAGGACATGTGTCTGCATGTCGTTTTATTTGCATTTAGATGATTTCCGTGGCGGGAAGCCCTGGAAACGACATCGCCCATTCAAAGGGTTTGCTAAAGAGCTTTCCTTGTGTTGCCAGTGAATGCTTGGTGTACACGACCGGTGAAGTCTGGGTCCGTCTCTTACTGAAAATATTTTTCCTAGTTCATTTGTCTTTGGTATAATTCCTTTTCAGAGTTTTCATACTCTTATGACATGAAAATTGGCCATTTTGACATTTTTCCAGGGTACAACTTAAGGGACATAGATGCTTCGTCAAGTTGTACGGCTGACTGTCCCCAGGGCTTTCTCATCACCCCAAACAAGCTCAGCTCCCACTAAGCAATAGCTCCCCCCTTCCTCCCTTACCCCCAGCCTCTGGTCTCACTCAAACTCTCAGCTGTCGAGGGGGCTCTGCGTCATGGCCACCCTGTAAGGACAGGGTAGAACTGCCCCTGTGGGCTTCCAAGACTGACTCATTATGGGAATAGAAATCTCCATCTTTCTCCCATGGAGGAGCTGGTGGTTTCAAACTGCTGACTTTGCAGCTAGTAGCCCAAAGCTTGACTTACCAACTATGCCACCAGGGCTCCTGGAACCTCTGGCGGCCACTGATAAACCTTGGTCTCTATGCATTTGTCAGTTCTAGATGCTTCCTATCAATGGGGTCAGACAATGTTTAATCTTTCGTGTCTGGTTTTCCCCCACTCCAGAGTCATGATCTCCAGGTTTTATCTACGATGTAGTCGGTGTCAGAACACCCTCACTTTTCCTGGCTGCGCCCTATTCCGCTGCACGCGTCCTCTGTCGCCCACAGCACACTCTGCTCTGCAGCAGGGTGCTAGGATTCTTGGCAGGGGCCCATGGACCCCACAGAAGGTGCTCGTGGTTATGACGCTCATTAGGGGAGTTAACAGGTTTTGCAAATCATGTGACCATTGCTCAGGACATCCTTGTTCAGTGAGAGCATGTTAAAAAACTCTTTTAGGGATGTCAGTAAATGCCCAAAGGGTGTGCTACATCCCTGTAAGCCTCAACCCGAAGGCACTCAGCTTCCGCTCTGTGCATGGGCAGCAAACCCCGTTTCTCCAATTGAGTGAGTGCCCAGAGGCGGCCCACTCAGGGCGCAGGCCAGCCTCCTGCCCAAATGCACGCGCTGACTTGCTCCGTGGGCCGGGAGTCCGCCGTGGGTCTCGTGCTCTGCCCCTGCAGTCACTCAACAGGGGTCTCTCTCCTGGGTCAGGGAGGTTCGTGCACAGAGGACTCGGGGCCAGACGTGTGCTCTGCTCCTGGCTCTTGCTGGTAGTGAGAGCCCACCTCCTGCTGCTGAGAGGCTCCTTCTACACCGAGCAGGCTGCCAGGCTCTCACAGCAGGAGCACAGAATACAGTCAGCCTCTCTCCAGCCTTCTAGCCCCGACCCATCAGGGAGAGGT